GGGTGCGACTTAGACGATCCGAGTCCCCCTCGGCAGCCCGATGGCTCGATTGCGAGACCACCCTCGGGAGGCCTGGGGTGTCCCGCATGCGCGGATACTGTTAACATGCATTCTCCCGCACATAACAGACATCCTAGACATTGAAGGTGGGGCGATAAGGGCGACTACCATTGGGAATGTCCGAGCTGCAAGAAGAACTACGGTAGGAACAAGCCTGGACACGTACTAACACTTGGCAAATGTAAGTTTGCCAAGCCCTGGAAGCTGCCCGACAATCATGGAAGGGCACCACTGGTTCCCGCCGAACCTGCAGCAGGACCTGCCCCACCAACTCCTGCTGAACCAGCAGCACCACCACCCGGGGCGCCAGCCGCATCACCACTTACGCGGCTAAGAGCAGACCCGGCTCAAGAGCTGGACTTACAGCGGGTGCGAGCAGTCACGATATTACTGTAGGAAGACATGCTGCTGAACCAGCTGCAGGGCAACCTGCCTCGAGTGGAGCTGGTAGTTCGGATGGCCATCTCCGGCTGCCACAGGTTAGAGTCACACATGGCCGACAGCAAGGTGAAAAGCACCTCCCCCACCGATAGCGGGTGACCCTGCTGCGCGACCACGGCTTCCAGATTGGTCACGGTTCGACGTACAAATCAATTTACAAATCTTACGAAGCCTTGATCCAAGCGTGGTAACACGCGAGTTGCGGAAGTTACATTTGCGCTGGTTCCATGCGAAAGAGCCCAAGATGATACTTATCTGAAGTAAGATGGGTCTGGACAGTGTCAGACTCAACTAGTATAAAAGTGTCTGCGACACACGTCGGGAGTGCAGAGCTTGGGACAAGCCTGGGCATGCTGTTATGCCTTCCGCTGCACTGCCTGGGAAATTTCATGAAACAATGGGATGTGATATGATGTTCTACAAACAAGAACACACCATCTTCCATATCATCGATCGTTGAACTTAGGACACGTGCGCGTGGACAACACGCTACGACGATCGAAGTCAGAAATGGAATCTTGCGCCATCTACGTCAAGTCATGGAAGCTGAACTCAACAGGTTGGGCATACCTCTCGTGTTCACACGACATCTGCGAGAGGCTTTGTTTGCCGCCAGCGCGTTCACCTTCTACAGCGAGGTGCCTCCGTATAGCGCTCTGTCTGGACGGCAACCAGCAATATTTCGTGATTTACCTGTCTTGGACCACGAGCAGTCGACGGAAACGTCGGGCCATTCTCGTGAGCAGACGATGCGCAGGGTATGTTTTGAAGCTATCACACAGGCCACAGCAGTAGCTAAGACCAATCGAGCCTTACGCAATAAGACGACTATTACTGGCAAGCACTATTACGATGAAGGAGACTTGGTCGATTATCATCGCCCCACGACCACGAAGGATGACTGGGGAGGCTGGAACGGCCCATTCCCAGTTGTAAAGAATGATCCCGAAAAGGGGCCAGGTCAGCATCCGAGTGGGCAATGAAGATGTTCAAGTACAATACGGCGATGCAGTAAACTCACTATATGCAGAAGCACTGATAGCCCGAGAGATTGGCTCCGACAACACTGCACTACGCACAGTGTTGACGTTCGTGGCCAGTTTGTCAGCGGGGAGACCTGTTCTGACCTTGGGCTATGTGCCGACCAAGAAAGGGGCGCTTCAGATGACGAGCGCAAGCCGTCTATCTCCTAAGGTACATGTAGCGTTACAGTACCTTATCAGAAACTTCTTCCGCATTGAGAATGTAGTTTCAGTCAGGCTAGCTAAGATTACTCATAAGCTACCTCCGGTTGCTTTTGCTGACAGCTGCACATTGGTCCACTATGACAACGACGTGAATCCAGGATTGCACTATTATGAAGCAGAAGGCAGTGCGTTGAATATACACGGTATAACTGGATCAGCACATTCGAGAATTCTCCAATGCCTGAAGTCCACTAAACCTCAAGCAGGTTTTGATCAGGACATGACGAGATTTGAGGAATTGGCGGATACACAGACACTGGAGGGAACCACAAGAGACGCCTCAGAAGCCGAACCACCACATGATGATGGACGGCTTTCTACGATCTACGACGAATCAGAGGCTGATCTCGAGTCACATGTTCTGGAAGTGTGGTCTGCAGAACTACAAGAGGAAAGGGGACTGCGGGAGGCAACTCCGCCAGAGGACCTCTTTACCATACCCACACAGATGGTTCCATATCAAAGTGTGCTGATCACTGTAGCTGATGAACAGCGGGGGCACCTGCCGGAGCGGGGGCGCACTCGCGACTCCGACACCGGGGAGACGTACTACGTCCAAATGTGTACCATGGTAGAAGACAACAAGTGCGGACTGGACTCAGACGAAACTGGTCCATATGTTGAACTCTGCTTTGCGGCAGGAATATCAAAGGTAGTCCTGTCCGAACAACAGCACGTGATACTAGATGCCGACCGTGTGAGCACTATGCGAGTATACGTGACCGCCGCTGCCGAGCGAGCTGTGGTCGTCAAGGATGACGACTTCCTTGAGAAAAATGACATCCAGGCGGATCCCCAGAAAGTATCGAAGGCCCTTTACACTGAACACAAGACATGGTTCGACAACAAGTGTTTCAGTATGCAAGATATAGCTAAAGCGTCGAACATCATGACTTGAGATACGTGTACGCATTGAAGTGCGTGAAGAACGAAAAGGGCGATATGGAACGCACCATCAGATTACGCCTGGTACTCCGAAACTACACGGGTCTTGAAGCCTTCGACGTAGAAACCTTTTCTGAAACAGCGCGACGGTCAAGCCAGAGGCTACTCGCCAGCGCGGCAGCGTGCAAGAAACAATGGGTCATTGCTTCCCTCGACATCAACATGGCCTTCCTACAGGGGCTGATCTATCAGGAACTTGCAGAGGCTACTGGTGAAAAAGGAACGTGTGGTGTGTTTTACTCTGCCGTTTGGATCGGCCACAGTGCTTCGAACGCTTCCAGGATTCGAACACTACGACGAGTGAAAGCACTGCCTGCAGTGCTTGAAACCAGGCACGGGCACCAAAGACGCACCGCGGGCTTTCCCACTAAAGCTCACAAGGACCACTAGAGGTTTTGGTCTCCGACCCACGTCGCACGACGAGGAGTTCGAGACGAGCAACAACCCACTCACGGCCAAACACGTTGATGACATCAATATGGCCGGTACTGAGGACGCCATTAACAAGTATGTCAAGAGCGTAGAAGACACCTTTGGTAAGTGTAGACTCAACAAGCACACATGCACCAACTGTGCTGTGAGATGCACCAAGGATGAGGACGGTAATGCCACTTATGACCAAGATGATTACATCAAACAGCTCCGTCCTATACAACACCCTGAACTTACCGGCGCCGGCGCTGACGCTCAGGCATCCAGGATGGCTGCAGACATGTTCGTCAGCCTCAGGGGCGCGCTGGCGTATGCGTAAATCAGGTGTGGTTGATGGTGTATGTTGTATCTCTACAACGTGTCCAAGAACCGACCGACATCCAAGTGCGACGACTGAGCGCGATCACCAGGAAGCTGCAGGCCTGCCCAAAGACGATCGTCTACCAGACGATGACTCCTACGGGCGAGGTCGACCTGCACAGCGACTCAGGATACCGACGCTTGAGTGGAGGCGCCGATGACGACGTGAAAGGCTATGGTATTCGCGGGGCAAGCCTGCTACGACGTGGAAACACGTCATCCGGTAAACCTGTCGTTCACTTGATCGATGCGTACTGCAAGGCTCTCCGCTTGCAGGTCCGCTCGAGTTATCCAGCAGAGACACTAGCAGCAGCCCTTAATTTGGAGGACTGTTTTCACGATTGTGACTCTGCACGAGCTCCACGCAGGGCCGCTCGCGCCCACTCATGAGTTGGGTGGCCTGAGCATCAAGGTCTCTTTGGCCATAGATGCTGAGTCTGTTTTCAAGTCATTGTCAAGCAAAGATTGGAAGACGCCGACTGATTGTACCCTGTTAGGACACATCAGTTGGATACGACAGATGATGGAGCGTGGAATCGTGCACAGCATTCAGTGGTGCGGCACCCGCGATATGACCGCGGATGGTCACACCAAGGGGAGCATCGACAGAGAAATGCTCCTACAAGTCATGGGAGGCATACAGGCCTTCAAACATGACCTGAAGAGTCATGCGCCATATCGGGCCGGCCAGACATCTAGTTCTGCCGCCGCCGCAGGAGTAGTTTAAGTGCAGAACTGGACAAGCAAGGCAACTTGCGAGCGGGTCCACCTTCCTTCTGGCCCGCCCCTTTTTCTGTCGTTGCGTATATCACGGGGCGACGGGCTCACGCTTCGTCTAGGGTAGGGGCGACGGGCTCACGCTGTGCCTGCTGTGTAGGGGCGACGGGCTCACGCTTCGTCTCCCCCCCCCCGACTCTAAAGCGAGCTGGGGGATGTAAGGAGCGGAAGCGAGCGTGCACCCGCGGCCGCGTTGGCTCAAGAGGCCGGCCGCCCAAATACGATTGTGCCCCATGGCGAGGCACACAATCGCTATCGAGACCAAAAGGATCTTCCGACTGCTTAAGATGGCACATCCTCTTCTGCTGGGACTATCGGTACTGCGGTACAACAGAGCGGGGGCTTGGCTTCGCCTAAGGCGAAACTGCTGTCTGGGCCTCCTAGCCCCCTTCAAACTCGCAGTCCCGTGGAGATTGCATTCTGTAACTTGCATCCCATAGGTTGCACCACATAGTATACATCACACAGCTTGCGTTACGTCTATTTCATCGCATAGCCTACAGCCTACACATCCACATTGCAGTAACCTACTGTTTGGAATCCATGCTGGCTGACATGGTAATTCGTGTTGCCCGTTTTGCGAGCATAGGACGGGCTGCCTTTTGCAAACGCGTGTCTGAAGTTTTGCCACCAACCTGTCATGTCTAATGTTGTGCGATCCTCATTTCCATGCTACTTGCGCACATTCGTCCAGTTGTTCGCTCGTTTTGCTTCCATTCGCGCGGTTGTTCACACCGCAGTCGTGTGAGCTCAAGATGTACGTCAGGTGTAGCTTGGCTTGCGTGCTGCAAGGCGCCGGGAATCATCATTGAATCCATAACGTCACACAATGGTGTATCGATTTTCTCATGTCGTGATGCGACGCGGAATCAGCTCCGTGGGTGCATACGTGCATGCATGCGCGAACTATCCATTTGCACCCACTTGCTTGTATGAAATATACATGCGTGCCAATGGTCGGGCAGCTCTTGGTGCGGGCATGCGTTTTCACATGTCAGGGTTGGTAACTAAAACGACGATGCGGAGTTTTGATTGAATATTTGGTGTCCCCATACATCTAGCTTGTACGGGAGTGTGATACATTGCCTGTTTTTTTCACGCGCTTTATCCGGTGGCGCGCGGGCGGGCGCGCGTTTGCGCTTGCGTGAGTGCAACCGTGCTGGATTCGAAAACGTCTTATGTGATCCCCAGACGAATTGTCTAATGCTCTGTTCACTGACAAGTTCGTCCCGCACATGGGGTGTGGCTCGTGAGTCGCAGCTGTCACGAGGGTTGAGAACACACAGGTCTGGAGGGGTACCTTCTGTCCTTCGTGTTTGGACTTTCCACCTCGGAATGATGCTCGCTCTGGGCAACTCCGTGGGGCATTTGTCGGAGGTTGATAGACCTCCTACCCTGACACGTCGATTAGTCAATTGGCCGTTCGGTTTGCGAGAGGGCGTCGCTGCCGTCATTGTTGCGGGTCCAGGTCCGTCGGTTTCGGTCCCAGGCCGTTTTCGCCACATGGAGTTTTACTAAAGGGAGGCTTGTCCACCGCCGAATTTCGCCGTCCGTGGAGGGGCTCCTGCTCTTGACCCACGTCCTCGTGTCCATGCTGCGACTGCACATGCGCAGATCCCGACCCGCGCGCCCCGGCTCAGCCTCTCGCCGTCGCGGTGAGGCGGCCTCCGGGTGCGCCGCGCCGGCAGGCTGGCTCGGCGCAGAGCGCCGCCCGTCTGCCAGCTCTCACAGTCCTCGCGGGGTGCGGGCCCCCTGGCGGTGGCGTTGCCTCCGGGCACGGGGCCCCTCAGCGACGTCCGTGCGCACACCATCCCTGGGCTCGAGGGCCGCGCGGCGCGTTTCCCCACGCTCTTCTCGTGGCGTGGACTCGGCCCTGCCCTGAAAGCCTGCGCCAGCCTGCAGAGGTCATTGGCGCTCCTTTCGCGTGCTCCCTCCGGCGCCACCCCCGCTCCTTGCCAACTGTGCCGGATGCCGGTCGCAGTGACGCCATGCGTCTTGGTGGCACTGCGGCGCGTTCTGCAGGCGCCTTGGACTTCGACGCCCCCAGGGCATCAGTGGGCCCTTGTGCGAGGTGGAGTTTCTGCTGGTCAGCGCGCGGAAGCGCAGCGAGGCCGATGGGTTCAAGGCGGCTGTGCATGACGTGCCCCGCGCTCGATCGCAGCGGCAGAGTGGCGAAGGCAGGCCGTTTGGCGCTGGGAGCGGTTGTGCAGGACCTGGAACGTTGCGTCGCTTCGGCCCCGCGCTCGAAGCGACGCAACGTTCCAACATCCGGGCCCGGCTCCTGCCCGCGGAGCATCGACTCGTGGTGTATGCTTTCAACCCCCCCTTCCTGCTCCCTTCTCTCTCCTCGTCCTCGTTCACCTCCTCCCTCCTCCTGCTCCTCGTCCTCTGCTCCCGCCTCCTCTCTCCTTCCCTCCTTCCCCTCCTGCTCGCGCGCCTCATCCCTCTGCTCCCTCCTCCTCCTCCTCCTCCTTTGCTATTTTGGCGCAAGCCGCTCAACAGCGAGCGATCCCGTGTTGCTCAAGCTCTCAAGCTAGTCTGGCGTGACCCCCCAGTCTGGAGCTGCTTGTGGGGCACGCTTTGCTTCTTGAGACTGGTCACGCTTAGATGCTTTGCACAGCAACCCGTCCTTTCGCGTGGTGACAGGCGACGTGTTCGTTGGCTCGCTCTCGATGGACGTATTGATGCTGCACATCGCCGAGTTGTGGACCTTGAGGTCGATGTAGCTCTCCCGCGCGACATGATCGGCTACTTCAGTCTTTCCAACGAGCTGAAGCTTTTGGCACCGCCGCTCGCCGCTGAGATAGCTGCCGCTTCTGTTGATGACGGCCTTGAACGCGTTCCTCTCGATCTATGGGCGGTCAGCAAGCGGAACACGGCCGCACACGACTTCAGCTCCCTGCCGACGCGATGCAGGCCTCGGAAAAAAATACAGAACACTCATGCCACATTCATCTGTGAACGCCTCCCCCTCCCCCCAATGGTCAAAGTTGGCGGTGGGTCTGACGAGTTGCACCTCGACCGCAGTCTCCCCCGCGCGTGCCAACTTTGAGTTTTGGGGGGCAGGGGGGGTGTTCACGAATTGTTTCCCTCTACCGTGCGGGACAAGTCCCAACGCGACCTCGACCGTACTCAGCGGGGGCGTCGCTCTGCCTGTTGGCGGCGCGCACAAGGGGGTGGAGGGAGGGGGGAGGGCTTCTTAGAAGGAGGCTGCTTCTTAGAAGGCGCGGGCCTTACATGTAAAGATAAGGCCCGCGCCTTCTAAGAAGCAGGGGTGCTTCTAAGAAGCCCTCCCCCCTCCCCCCACCCCCCTCTGGGCGTCGCTCTGCCTGTCTGCAGCCTCCTTCGCTCGACCGGGTGTTTGGCAGTCGCCAGCTGGAGCACCTCTTCGAGGCCCGAGCAGCGGGGGGCACCTGCGAGTCCACAGGCGACATGTGCGTCTCGTCCTGTCAGGATGGAAAGAAGCACGAAGACACAATTCATCGTTGACTCCCAGGAAAAGATGGGAAAACCTGGGAAGTGGGGGGAAGACGAACACCCAGAAAATACAGGAAACTCTGGGGAATCCTGTTATTTGTGCCTGGGCCCGTTCAGTCTGGCGAGCCCAGCCTTGCTCAGTGTGGCGATGCCGCTCGTCTTCCGCCTCCTGGCGCTGGCGCGCGGGGGGCTCGGGGCTTCTCTCGGGTGGGTGCTGGGAGCGTTGTCGCTGAGATCTTCATGCCCCGTTCGGTGAGGGGGTACAACCTGCTGTACACGTGCTTCATGAAAAGCCCTGGCGTTCTTTCTCTCGTGTGCTTGCTTTGGGAGTGACTGACGGCGTTGGCGATAAGTATGCCCCACGGACAATCACCACAGAAGACTGGAGTTCATGCTCTGTCGGTCTGGGTATCTCGGGATGTTGTCTGTGATCCTAGAGAATGGCGACAGTTTGGCTAAGCCAGTCCAGGTTGCCGGTCGAGCATGGTGGAGGTACGCTTTGAATGCTCCATCCCGCTCCTGGTCTGGCTCACTTCGTCCTGCTGCTTCTTTCTCTTCGATTTGGATGCTTTCTGGTGGCGTATGTGGTTGCGGTCTTCCTGGAACCGTATGTAGCTCCCTTTCGTGGGCTTGCGCGTGCTGGACTTCTGTTGGGCGTTGGGCGCGGTCAATCGGGTTCGACCGCCTCAGCTTCGGCGGCATCCGTGGCCCGCGCTGTATTCCCTTGGTGCCATCATATCCCACAGTTCGTCGGTGAGCGAGGTGGGGAAGTGAGAAGGATATGGCCTTCTCAGAAGGCGGCGGGGCTTCTCAGAAGCCATCTGGCCTTTGAGAGTATTTCTGTGTCTTCGGGGGAAGGCTCAGACAACTTTTCAGAAGGCGGGGGGACTTTCGAGCCTTCTCACTTCCCCTCTGGTTCGCCCCTTCTCACTTCCCCTCTTGTTCGCCGGCATTAAGACCATCCCCTCAGGGGCGACGCGCGCACCGAGAAATCTAATGGTATATGCATTGCGGCGGGCGCTTTCTGGCCACACTGCTCGGGAAGCCACATCCTGCAAGATGGGTATACGTAGCACCCCGCAGATGCGGATAAGAGCGAGGGGGCGGTTGGGACGTCGGCAGTTTGCGAGACTCTGGAGAAGCCCGCCGCCGGCGCCCAAATTTCACAATTTATACAACGAGCCCGCCGCAGGCGCCCATTTTGTCGTTAAACCAATGTGGGTAGGTCGCGGGTGGGTCGCAAATGGGTCGCGGGTGGGTCGCTGTTAGGTCGCGGGGTGGGTCGCGGGTGTAGAGGGCAGAAAATCCACCCCATAATAATCACCCCGACAAGCGAAGCCGTTCAGTAAACGCACACAAGGAATGAATCGAACAGGGCAGGGTTGTTTCGTAAACGCCCAGTGCCGTTCAGTAAACGTCGAGTGTCGGGTCCCAGTGGTTTTTCCTCTCTTGAGGGTAGGTCGCGGGGTGGGTCGCGGGTGGGTCGCGGGGTGGGTCGCGGGTGTGTCGCGGATGGGTCGCGGATGGGTCTCGGGGTTGGTCGCGGGTGGGTCGCGGGGTGGGTCGCGGGTGGATCGCGGGTGGGTCGCGGGTTGGGCCGCGGGTTGGGTCGCGGGTTGGGTCGCGGGTTGGGTCGCGGGGTGGGTCGCGGGGTGGGTCGCGGGTGGGTCGCGGGTGGGACGACAACAACAACAGCAGCAGCAACAACAACAAAACCAACAACAACAGCAACAGCAACATCAACACCAACAACACCGACACCACCAACAACAACAACACCACCAACAACAACAACCACAACAACCACAACAACCACAACAACCACAACAGCAACAGCAACAGCAACAGCAACAACAACAAACACAACAAACACAACAACACCACCAACAACACCAACAGCAACACCAACACCACCATCAACAACAACGACAACACCAACAACACCAACAACAACAGCATCATCAACAACAACACATACAACACACACACAGCAACACCACCACCAACAGCAACACCAACATCAACACCAACAACACCAGCAACAACAACAGCAACAGCAAATACAACACCAACAACAACAGCAACACCAACACCAACAACACCAACAACACCAATAACAACATCACCATCAACAACAGCAACACCAACAACAACACCACCACCAACAACAACACCAACAACAACACCAACAACATCAACAACAACAGCAGCAACACTATCAACAACAACAACCCCATCAACAACAGCACCACCACCAACAACATCACCACCAACAGCAACAGCAACAGCAGCACCAACAACAACAATGACATCAATAACAACAGCAACACCAACAACAGCAACCACCATACCAACAACAACACCAACAACAACACCACCAGCAACACTAGCAACAGCAATAACAGCAACACACTCCACACCTACACCAACACCAACAACAGCAACACCACCAGCAACAACGCAGCAGGCACAATTCTCACCGCGCATTCCCTATTCAGCCACGCACCCAGGGACAATGAATGACCGTTCGGCCCCCTCACCCTGACTATACGTTGGGGTCGGACGCGCGCCTCCGCGTCCCACCCCCCAGTTCAGGCGGGATACTCTTGTGCTTCTTTGTGCTTCGGCGCTCCACCTCGGCGCGCTCTCCGTTTCAGGGGCTCACGGTAGACATCACAGGCAGGCCTTCGGCGCAGGGGCTCGCCCGGGTTCGACTTCGGACAGGTGCCCCGGCAGTCTCGGGGACCGTCTTCGTTACGACTTTCGTCTTGCAGCGAAGGCGGAACGAAGACGTGCCGAGGGACAGCGACAACAACACGAGAACGAGTCCGCTGTCTTGGTGGAGCCCTGGGGCGCACGTCCTCGAGCCGCGTGCTTGTGGCCGCGCTCCAGCTGTGGGCCTCCCTCCCGGCGGCCCTCGTCGCGGTGGGGGCGCTCCCGAGGGGCGCCAGCAGCGTCGCGGGGGCCTGCCGCTCGGCACGGCGGCCGTCGGCAGCGCGGAGCAGGGCGGGGCGGATGGGGTGCTTGTAGGGGCGGTGCGCCTCCCCCCCTCCTCCTTGCTCCTCTGCCTCCTCCTCCTGCCCATGCCTTCCCCCCATGCCTTCCCATGTCCTTCTCCGCTGCCCCTTTCTCCTCCCTGCTCCCTTCCTTTGCCGCGCCTCCTCCTCCTACTATCCCAGCCTCGCCCCGTTTCATCACTTCTGGCATTCTGCCGCCCTCTGTCTCATCCTATTCAGCCTGTTCCTCTCCGGACAGGTCGCGGAGGGAGGGTTGGGGGGATGCGGGAACAGGGAGGGAGGGAGGGAGGGAGGGAGGGGCAGGACGTAGGGATGGATATGTGGTGGGAGGGGGATCCCTGAGTGCTTGACGATCCTTCGCAAATCGGCTTGTGGGGATCAAGCTGGGATATCAGATAGAAGACGACGCCGCGTAATTTATTGCGAACCCAGATGAGCCGAGGTGACTCTTAGACCTGTAGGTCTAGTATCTCGTCGGAGCTCCAGCGCGGGTCGAGGGGCAGGAGAAATCGTTAAACCCTCAACGAGAGGGAGGGAGAAGCTTTTCCCGCCCCCTCCCGCACCTTCATCGCTGTGGCAGGCGCCGCCCTGCTGCTGCTGCTGCACCTGGCGCCTCGCGGCGCGCTTGGTGCCGCGGCGTGCGGCGCAGGCGAGGCTCCCGCAGGGGGGGGTGGATCGAGGATTTACGATTGTGTGTGTGTGTGTGTGTGTATATATGTATGTATGTATATATATATATATATATATATGTCTGGATGTTCTGTACCTGCCCATTCGTTGGTCTTTCTTCCCTCCTGGTCTCTGCCTGGCCGCCTTCGGGCTGCCTTCCCCCCAGCTGCTGCCTGGCGTCGTGACTGGCTCCCCCCCCTGCGCCCGCCCCGCCGCCGCTGAGACTTGCTTGAGGGGATTTGGTTTTTGTCTTCCCGCCTGCGCTGAGCTTCCTTCCCCTTCCCCCGTGCACCGCGGCCCAATTTGCATCTCGCGCGCCCCACTGACGCCCGATCGCCAGAGCATTGACCTCTGCCCAGCCGCCGACGCATATATAAATATATATATCTATATATATATATAAAATTATATATATATATATATCTCTGTCGGGGTACGGGGCCGGGGGCCTCTGGCCAGCTGCCTCGATTCGCCATGGGGGGACCCCCCCCGGGCTTCTCCAGATCCGCTCCGGGGCGACTCCCGAGCGGCTTTGGAGGACCCTGGTGATGTTTCAGCACCAGGAATGGTTCCCATCTTCGACCCATGTCGCCGAAGCACGTGGTAACGTGGTAGAGGTTTCGGGAGGCCTCCAACATGGCCCCAGACGCTTCCAGGAGCACTCCCAAGAGAGCCCCAGGAGGCCAAAATTGATGGTTTTCCGAGGGTTTCGGAAGGATTTTGGCCTTATGTTTTTTTCGGTTGTACGACGCTCCAAGACGTCCCAGGAGGTCTCCAGGTCCGCCCCCAAGCAGCCCCAGAGGCCCCCAAGACAAGCCCAAGACGGCCCCGGAGAGCCCAAGGCTGGCCCAAGAAGCGCCTACGACAGCCCAGGAAGGCTCCAAAACAAACCCAAGAAGGACCCAATAGAGGGACCGCGTACCGAACACTCAGGGCTCCCGCCTCAACAGTGACCCCGGAGGCCCCAGGCAGCCCCCAAGAGTCCTCCAACATGGCTCCAAACGCTTCCAAGAGCACTCCCACGAGGGCCCCAGCAGGCCAAACATTGATGGTTTTACCATAGTTTGGAAGGTTTTGGCCTTCTGATCTTTGCGGCTGTCCGACGCTCCTAGGCGGCCCAGGAGGCCTCTGAGACCGCCCCCAAACAGCTCCAGAAGCGCCCGAGGCCGCCCCGAGGCGGTCCCGGAGAGCTCAAGGTTGTCCCAAGAAGCGCCCAGGGCAGCCCACGAGCCCTCTCCCACATAGCCTTAGGCGGGCCCAGAGAGCCCCGGGGAGCCCGCAAGACCGGTCCTACGCAACCCAAGAGTTCCTCGGCATGATAGTCCGGGCGGGGGGGGGAAGCGGGGGAGCCTCTGGCGCCCCATGCTCCAGGAACGCTCCCCCGGAACATGGCGTGCGAACGTGAGCGGCATGGTCGCCGTCGTCGTCGTCGTCGAAGTCGTCGGGCTTTCCGACGCTCCGATAATGGGCCCAGCGCGCCTCCAGGTCCGCTCCCAGAAACCCCCAGGCGGGCCCAGAGAGCCCCGGGGAGCCCGCAAGACCGGCCCTACGCAACCCAAGAGTTCCTTGGCAGGATAGTTCGGGAGGGGGGAGGAGCGGGGGAGCCTCTGGCGCCCCATGCTCCGGGAACGCTCCTCCGGAACATGGCGTGCGAACGTGAGCGGCATGGTCGCCGTCGTCGTCGTCGTCGTCGTCGTCGTCGTCGAAGTCGTCGTGGTCGCCGTCTTCGGCGCAGAGAGGGCGCCAGGAAATCCCGACAGGCCACCCCCAGAGGCACCGAGAGACCCCCAGGATGGCCCAAGAAACCCCCGAGAGGCCTCCAATTCCGGGGCGTCTCCCGAGCGGCTCTGGACGGACCCTGGTGATGTCTCAGCACCAGGAATGGTTCCCATCTTCGACCCATGTCGCCGAAGCGCGTGGTGGAGGTTTCGGGGGGCTTCCAACATGGCTCCAGACGCTTCCA